TAGTTTCACCCAGATAGATACAGAGAAGCAAAACAAGACAATAATACTGTGACAGAACAACTTCAAAGTAAAATTGGGAGTCAATAAGTCACTTTAATAAGTAACTCATTTAAGTTTTTCATGAAAACTAATTAAAAACCTAAGGGACATCTTATAAATGCTAAAATAGTAGAGAACATTTCAATAGTAAACTCTTTGTTGAGCACTTAGGCGTTTGTGTGTACTTATTACTAGATCTCTTAAGTGCTCATTCAGACACTAATTTCACTATCCATGACTAAAATCTATATATATGGTAAATGGTTTTTAAAACCAGGACACGGAGATGGGCCGGACATTTTCTCACGAGTTGGGGTCATAAGGATTTTATTGACACGCTTGTATTGGTAATCCTCATTGGTTCAGTTCTTTATCGATGTTCTTATCAGTCCTATTTATTATTAAATAATTGCATATATTATTTGAAAAAATAATACAATATGTTTATTAACTAAATGTTTTTTCTACAGCAGCAACAGGATTTACAACAGCAAAGGAAAAAAATCTAAAATGTCAGTAAAATAAATCATATTTCTGACAACAACATAATAGTTTAGAAAGAATCAACAACTCATTCCCTCCCTGTCCTCCTTCTGCCTCTGCTGCTGCTGGTTAAGAGGAGGGCTGGTCTGTCTCCTAAAGCTGAGTTTATAATTTGCCATATTTTAATGTACTGGCAAACTAAGCTGAACAGTTACTAAAGATAACAACTTTCACTTTAACTTGTTTTTATCAATTAGCTATTAACTGAACTAGCACTGTGCCTGTGTTACACCATAACACAGCTGCAGTGGATGAGAGACTGAGCAGATTAAAATATTGCATTTTGCGTGTTCATGTTTATTCAACAGGTGTGTTGGTAAAGTATTGGCTTTTTACTCGCTAAGTTTTTATTGCACCACGTAGCCTACTTAACAAGCTTAGTTGTTGTCAGCGTAGGTAATGTCCACTGATCAGCTGGCTGACTTCGCTCTGTGTGCGCGCGCACGTGTGTAAGTGTGGGGTGGAGGCACTCTGCAGACACACAGAGGCGGGGAGAGGCTGCAGGTCAGACAGTTAGGGTTGAGCCTTGTGAGCATGTGAAACTCTAAAGATGAGAAGGAAATGATATAGCTCACTCTCTCTATTTTTTTTAACACTTTGCAAGCCTGCAAAACGTCTTGGGTTACAACTGGAACCCTTGTTCCCTGAGGAGGGAACGAGACACTGCGTTGTTGAAAACGACTCTACGGGGAAGCTCCTCGAGCGCCTGCCTCTTAAGTATGAATGAAACTAATCCAATCCTAATTGGTGTCGTGCCATGTCGTATCATGTGACGGCATACCCGGCATACTCGAAGGCACCTTAGGCACATAGCCAGGCCTTGGATGCAAGACGGCCTTCACTCCGCCAGGGGTAAATTCCAAGCAGTCTGGCGTCACTGCCAGTGCTTGAAGATCCCCCACCCTATTAATAGAGGTGATGGCCAAGAGAAACGCCATCTTGACCGTGAGGTCCCTGGGCGAAGCCAACTGAAAGGGGTGGAAGGCAGCCAACACTTTCCCCTGGGACCAGAGAATAATCCAACATCTCCAGGCAATTTATTTGCCAAGAGTGATGATGGTCCTGCCACAGACCCTGGACAAAGCATCTGTCCGTGATGGCGCCCCAGCCGGTGAGGGAGGCATCGGTCGAGACAGCATTCCGGCGACACGACGCTCCTAACACTGGCCCCTTGTACAGGAACCATGGTTTCTTCCACAGTAATAGGGACTGAAGGCACCTGCGCGTGACCCTGATTACACGGAACAGATTTCCCCACTGTGAAACACCCTTGGTTTTCAGCCACCACTGAAGGGGCCTCATGTGTAGAAGGGCCAGAGGTATGATGCTGGATGCCGCTGCCATGAGGTCCAGCAGCCTTTGGAAGCTCTTCACAGTGACGGCCTGGCCTAGCTTCATCCTGGACACCATGGTCAGGATGGACTCGACACGTGTGGGAGACATACGTGCCCGCATCGTAACCGAGTCCCACACTACACCCAGAAATGTAGTCTTCTGGGCCGGTACCAACACGCAAGGACGACATCTTGATGCCGAACCGCCATATCTCGAGACTGGGCTATATAATTCAGTATGAGGATGCCCTGAAGCGTCAATGGAGCCAGAGCTGCATCCATACACTTGGTGAACGTGCGGGGAGAGAGTACTTGGCCGAACAGAAGAACCCGATACTGGTACGCGTCGCCCCCGAACGCGAACCTCAGGAACCTCCTGTGACATGGAAGGAAGGAGCCATGACGAACTAGATCTATCGTGAAAAACCAATCCCCGGATCTGATTTGATCCACGATGATGGGAATAGTGAGAATCTTGAACCTGAAACATCTCAGGGTGTGATTCAACTGCCTCAGGTCTAAAATGGGCCTGCCTGCCGTCCTTCTTTGGAACTATAAATTACCGGCTGTAAAACCCGGTCTGGCAGGGGAACACATTCTACGGCCCCTTTGACCAGCAGAGCCTGCACTTCCTGTTCCATAACCCAATCCTGTTCTGGAACCACTGTAGTCGGCACCACCCCAGCAAACTTGGGGGGTCGGTGACTGAACTACAGTCCGTATCCACGCCTTATTATATTCAGGACCCACGGTGAGATGTTTGGAAGATGTCGCCATGCGTCTGCAAAATCCACTAAGGGAAACGGTCTCTCGAGACCAGCCGCGGGTGTGTTTTGAGCACTGTTCCCAACCCCCTGAAGCGGCGCTCTTGGGGCGTACGCCACACCGTGCGTGCGCTGGAAACCGATGCGACCCGAAGCGCCAAAGACGGCGGGACCACACCCCTTTCCTGGGGGCTCTGCTGCGAGAACAACCTCAGTTGTTCCACCGCCAAGGGGGCGGCCCCAGCGGTCCCACGCCCCGCGTCAGGACCTCTTCCCCGAACTTCTCCTCGCCTGAAGGACATCCCTCAGGTTGCCCCTCTGGCGGGCGGGCTCCGGCTGAGAACGTTTCCTCTGTTGCCAGACTCCCGTGGCAGGGGCTCTGGAGGCAATGCTCTCCTTTTGTTCCTGCCGATGGGGGGAGCTAGGGGACGGCCGCTTGGGCCACCCCACCCAGTACCTTGAGCAGCAATGGAGAAACTGCCGGAATGCCGCTGATAGCTTTTTCGCCTCCTGAAACCTGTCAACGACGACTGTAACCGCGTCGCTAAACAGACCTGACGGTGACAGCGGCGCGTCCAGCAGAAAGTGGCCACCAGAGCTGCAATGGAGTGACCGACCGCACGCCTTAGTGGCCCGGAGAGATAAATCCGTGGCCCGCTGCAGCTCCAAATATCTGCCGGGTACGGCCCCTCGCCTTTGTCCAGGTCTTTAAGGAGGTCAGCCTGGTATGCCTGCAAATTGGCCATGGACTGCAGGGACGCACCAGCCTGATCGGCTGCCATATCAGCCCGGCCCATCAGTGCAGAGGTGTCTCTGCATAGTTTGCTGGGCAACGCCGGGGCTTTGAGCGAAAACGCCACCTTGGGAGAAAGGTAGCTTGCTAAAGCTTCCTCCATCGGCGGCATCTTGCCATAACCCACCTCTCTCGCACCCACCACATTACTATAATTGTATAACGTAGGTGATGAGATGCGAAAAGAGTGGGGCCTCACCCAGGATCTGGAGATTTCGTCATGAAGATCCGGGAAAAATGGCAAGCTCCGGCGCTGAGGTCGGGACCGGGGCTGCAGGAATCTGTCGTCCAGCTTGCTCAGACAAGGATTAGCCTGCCGAGTTTGCGGCCAGCTGATGTTGAGCCTGGCCACAGCCCGCGTCACAACCTCCACCAGCTCATTATAAGCGGGAACCGGAGTTGGCGAACAAGGCTCACGTTCCTCGCTACCAATGCTGAGCACGTCCACCTCCTCAGAAGCAGACAGCTCGGGCATCGGGTGGTCGCCACAGGCTGAGGAAGCCGCAGAGCAGGCCTCTGAATCCTGAGCGGGCGCCACAGAATCCTCGGACGATGAACGAGGAAGTGCCTCAGCAGCCTCGACCCGAGCCAGGGGGGACCGCGAGCCTGGCCATCCTTTCCAAAAATGTCCGGTGCTCCTAAACAATACACACACAGCTGATGCGTGTCCCCACTTGTGATGTATCTAGGACAGGGGTACACACACTGAGTGTACCGCTGTTTCTCACTCGCCATTCAATAAGTCTCACGACCGACAGCTCAGCAGAGAAGAGGACAGTTTCACAGAGAGCGCTTGCAGAAGAGCGAAAGCTGTTGTGTGTGTGTGCCGGCGTCCTTTTATGCTTCCGGGTATGCTGTAACATGATACACCACGGCAGAACACCAATTAGGATTGGATTAGTTTCATTCGTACTTCACAGGCAGGCGCTCGAGGAGCTACCCCATAGAGTCGTTTTCAACGACGCAGTGTAGAGTTCCCTGCGAAAGGGAATTTGGTAAGATTTTGAATTTTCAAACACTTAGTTTCAACTTTTTTTTTGTTTTGAAACATGACCCATTATCCCATAGGACCTTGGTGCAGACATTCAGGTTTGAAAGCCCCTTAAATGCTCAAATAGAAACTGACAGGATTACTATGATTATTATACTTTGCTCTTGTATGTAAACCAAAGAATTTACTATTGAAATCTGTTCTCTACTGCTGTAGTATTTATAAGATGAATCTTTTAATCAAAGTATTAATTAATAATTAAAACTTTTCGTAAATGAGTTGACTTATTGACTCCCAATTTTACTTTGAAGTTGTTCTGTCACAGTGTCATTGTCTTGTTTTGCTTCTCTGTTCTCTGTATCTATTTGGGTGAAATAGTACTAGTATGTGCTCTAAATATGGGGATCATTTTGATATCAAATTTTAAGAGTAGAGAGAGGGAAAGACAAGATATAAAGAGGTGAGACAGATAGCTGAACATGATATATTTGTTTATTGATTCAACTAAAATATATCAGAACTGTGACATCATCTGGGGTTTTTTGACATCTTCATTGGGGATGTGTCAGCACCTGGCATAGGGCGTAGATCTTCACAGGCGCATGCCACAAACAATGGATTTGTTGATATCACAGTTGGCATCGTTGACATAATCTTTTCCTGAAGACAGATTTTTTTAAAGAAATAATAATTGCACATTAGAGGCCTCACATGAAAAGTTCTCACAATGATATTGTTTACATTTTACTTTAAGTAAGACTCTCTTCATATAGCACTCTCAAAAACCTGCGTTATAACATGATTCATGGTTGCAAATGAAAGCACATACTGAAAAAGAGTAAGAAAGTAAACATCCAAAAATAAAGGGAAAGGCCAACAATATAAGGTTTCTATCAGATAATTAAGTTGTACCTGCAAAGTTAATCTCCATACAGTTCTCTCTTCCACCAGCGTTGTTGGGTTCCCCTGCAGCCCAGCCTTTGAAGGCGTACTTGGAACCATCACTCCACAGCCACACACCCTCCTGAAACAAAAGGTTTTAAGAGAGTTTATACATTTGGTTGGATTTTTTTCAATCATGTTTTAGCTGGCGTTTTTTTGAAGGGTTACAGTTATGTCGTGTTAAAATAGTCCACATAACACTGGTCAAATTACAAAAAGGTAGATTACAAACAGTATATACTCAATATCAGGCACACAGAGGGGACAGCTAAATCAGATCCTGTTTTTTGCTAAAATGCTCACCTTTGCTGCATCGTAGCCTCCAACCCAAGCGTCTTTATCTACACCAGTCACTTTACGAATCATCTTTCTGATGAACTTGTACTCGTCTGCGGTTTGTAGGGAAGCCAGATTCCCACCGAAAGACGTGCACAAACGCTGAAGAAAGAGACAAAGTGAGAAACAAAAGTGACAGAAAGAGAAATAAAACTACTAACAGAGATGGATAAAGAACAGCAATGATCTATAACACAATTGTAGATGATTAGAAGGACAATCATGCAAAAAGCCTCTGGTGGTCCAAAGTCAGTGGAGGTCTGAGAATATTGATCCTCAGCACAACATTTATGGACACATTAGAAAAAGGTAAGTAAGAAGAAATCTTAGGATCAAGTGCGGAAACAGCATTTCACCTCCACCACTCTGAGAAACACTAACCTGATTCTGTTTCACTTGATGCCTGTGAAGATACAGAAATATTCTGATTTGTCGGTACGACTCTTATCTATAGAAACGAGTTATCATCTGTTCATTATTATTTTTAGTGTTCACTTCCAGGTAAAAACCCCTTTTCATGCAGTTCTTTAAAATTCCTTGTTTCTGTAAAATTACTTTTGTTATTTTATCTTCCTGTATCACCAAATAGCATTGCTGTCATTTTTATGTTGTAATTAACATTCACATTAAAATAATGCATATACTTATCTACAGTGTATTACTTCATTAACATACTGTCTACACAGATGGCATCAGCTCTTCATTTCATTGCGGTCATCTGTTTGACCAGTGGGCTGTGTATTGGAGCCAATGTAAGTAATAAAATATAAATTTAATAATAACACCTAAACTTAAAATAACTAACATAAAACCGGTCTTTCAAGAGCTCTACAGTCCAACATTATGTTTTCAACATTAATAAAACTGAACGTTTTAAGAATATTTGCAATAAAAGGAAGTGAACAAAACACATTTTGATTTTTGAAATAAAATGCAACGTCCTGTCACCTGTATTTTTGAATTCAAATCTAAAGTTGCAAGTAGAGACAAATCCAAGATGACTTCAATATTGAATATTTCTGTATCTTCACAGGAATCAAGTGAAACAGAATCAGGTTAGTGTTTCTCAGAGTGGTGGAGATGAAATACTGTAGCTGCACTTGATCCTAAAATTTCTTCTTACTTACCTTTTTCTAATGTGTCCATAAATGTTGTGTTGAGGATCAATATTCTCAGACCTCCACTGACTTTGGACCACCAGAGGCTTTTTGCATGATTGTCCTTCTAATCATCTACAATTGTGTTATAGATCATTGCTATAAAACCTGCCCTGACGGTTGGACTGTGTTTGGCCAACAATGTTACATGTTCCACAACAGTGAACAGCAGTGGGCTGATGCAGAGGTACGTTTTCAGTTATAACAGCCACACTGTAAATTTGTGATCACTCAGTTAGCAGTAGAAGTTCCCATATGAAGGTTATTGAATTTACACAGGATCCATTGTTCTGTTGTCCACTCTGTTGGTACACACAGTTCAAGCATGTTCACATGGTCGTGTTAGGACTTCTCACCTCATCCCTGTTTGTAATTTTCTTTCTTTCTGTCACTTTTGTTTCTCACTTTGTCTCTTTCTTCAGCGTTTGTGCACGTCTCTCGGTGGGAATCTGGCTTCCCTTCAAACCGCAGACGAGTACAAGTTCATCAGAAAGATGATTCATAAAGTGACTGGTGTAGATAAAGACGCTTGGGTTGGAGGCTACGATGCAGCAAAGGTGAGCCTTTTAACAAAAAACAGGATCTGATTTAGCTGTCCCCTGTGTGCCTGATATTGAAAATATTCTGTTTGTAATCTACCTTTTTGTAATCTGACCAGTGTGATGTGGACTGTTCTTAACAAGACATAACTTTAACTAACCCTTCATAAAAAGCACCAGCTAAAACATGATTGAAATAAATCTAAGCAAATGTATAAACTCTCTTAAAACCTTTTGTTTCAGGAGGGTGTGTGGCTGTGGAGTGATGGTTCAAAGTATGACTTCAAAGGCTGGGCTGCAGGGGAACCCAACAACGCTGGTGGAAGAGAGAACTGTATGGAGATTAACTTTTCAGGTACAACTTAATTATCTGATAGAAACCTTTTATTGTTGGCCTTTCCCTTCATTGTTGGATGTTTACTTTTCTTACTCTCTGTTTTTCAGTATGTGCTTTCATTTGCAACCATGAATCATGTTATAATAAATTGAGTGTTATATGAAGACAGTTTTACATGCTTAATTGAGAAAATGCAAACAATTTCATTATGAGAACTTTGTATCTGAGGCCTCTAATGTGCAATTATTGATTCTTTAAAAAAAATCTGTCCTCAGAAAGAGATTATGTCAACGATGCCAACTGTGATATCAACAAACCTTTTGTTTGTGGGGTGCACCTGTAAAGATCTACGCCCGACGCCAGGCATGACACATCCCCAATGATGTCACAACCCCACTGATGATGTCATAGTTCTGATTTATTTCAGTTGAATCAATAAACAAATATATCATGTTCAGCTATCTGTCTCACTTCTTTAAATTGCTATCTCATGCCACCACCGAAGCTCCCCTCTCTCTACTCAAAATAAACCCCATATGTAGAGCATATACTCAACTAGTTTGGGATGTGAGATACAGAGAAGCAAAACAAGACAATGACTTGATTAAAAACCTTAGAGACATCTTATAAACACTACAATAGTATAGAACATTTCAATAGTAAACTCTTTGTTGAGCACTTAGGCTCAGTGTGAATGTTTGTGAAGGGGTGAATGTGATGTGGTATTAAAGCGCTACGAGTGGTCGTAAGACTAGAAAGGTGCTACACAAACACAGACCATTTACCATATATTTGCTCATGGATAGTGACGTTACTGTCTGAATGAGCACTTTAGATATATATATATATATATATATATATGGTTGGTCTGCTCGTGGTTTCTCATTTTGGAATATGAGCAACGATTGCAAAATTGGATGAATGTTATGGCTTTTGAATATTGACAACATATTTCTGTGGTGCATCTCTGCACTGCCTTTGTTTTTGCTGAGAAATCAGGAGCTGGCTAAACAATACAACCAGACCGGCCACACATACATACACATATATACTATATATGAGTGTGTGTGTGTGTGTGTATTTATTATTAGATCTCTTAAGTGCTCATTCAGACACTAATGTCACTATCCATGAGCAAAATCTATATATGGTAAATGGTGTGTTTTTTTATAGGGATAACTGTTGTTGTGATTTGGCACTATATAAATAAAATTCAATTCAATTCAATTGAATTTTACATTAGATCACATTCACCCATTCACATTGAGCATAAGGGGGCTTTCACATTTACGTTGTTTGGTCCGAACCTTTAGATTTTTCAGTTTTATCCGAACCAAAATTACAGACAAACCCACTATTATTTAAGGTATTACATACATGTAAAACTAACATCATAGACATTCTGGTAGATCATAAAAGGACAATATATAAGAATAACTTAAATGAAAATGTAAAAGTATTGGCATAATATGTAAATAGCTATAAATTTATCATTTCTACCCTTTATTTAAATTAGGATATTTTACTATAATTTTATGGTTTTTGCCATATTTTTTGGATGGTCCGGACTTTCAGACTATTTACATGGTTTACATGATTCCCATGTGAACCGGCAATAAAAAATGCACGGGGAAATACACTGAAATAAGGACACAATTATAAATCTCCGGTCACAGCTCATATTTTGAAACAGAAAGCCTCTGTAGAAGCATGGCTTTGGTCTCGTCTCAAACCGAGGTGCAGAAGGATTGCTTGCAGCCTTTTCCTCCTTTCCTGCTGGTGAAGATGTAATGTTTGCAGAAAAAGGAAATTTATTTAACAAATTTGAACGAGCCTCAAGTTGGCTATAGGCTCGTTGGTGCTGCAGGTAGTAGCCTCATGACATAATAATAACAATATAGAGGCAATGATATCCATCTGTTCCTCCCTCATTCATTCATTCTTTTTAAAGCTACCTGTGGAACTGTTTTTAAACCAGTGTCAAGTATTGGGAGACGCAGCCCACATAGACGATGTCGACAGGACGCAAGTCTGTCCCGTAAAGGTCTTTAGTGCGCTCACATTATTGCAGTATAAAACCAAACCAAAACTAACCAAATGTGACAAAATGTATCAAAACTTTGGTTCTGACCTTGGTGCGGACTTTCAGGTGTGAATGCTCAAATGGAAACTGACAGGTTTACTATGATTACTATACTTTGCATTTGTATGCTAAACAAAGAGTTTACTATTGAAATCTGTTCTCTACTACTGTAGTGTTTATAAGATGCCTCTTTGGTTTTTAATCAAAGTATTAATGAAAAACTTTTCATAAAATGAGTTGACTTATTGACTCCCAATTTTACTTTGAAGTTGTTCTGTCACAGTGTCATTGTCTTGTGTTGCTTCTCTGAGTACATGCTCTAAATATGGATCATTCTGATATCAAATTTTAAGAGTAGAGTGAAGGGAGCTTCGGCGGTGCATGAGATAGCAAACTAAAGAGGTGAGACAGATAGCTGAACATGATATATTTGTTTATTGATTCAACTGAAATTTATCAGAACTGTGACATCAGTGGGGTTGTGACATCATCATTGGGGAAGTGTCAGCACCTGGCGTAGATCTTCACAGGCGCATGCCACAAACAATGGATTTGTTGATATCACAGTTGGCATCGTTGACATAATCTTTTCCTGAAGACAGATTTTTTTTAAAGAAACAATAATTGCACATTAGAGGGCTCAGATGAAAAGTTCTCACAATGATATTGTTTGCATTTACATTAAGTAAGACTCTCTTCATATAGCACCCTCAGAAACCTGCGTTATAACATGATTCATGGTTGCAAATGAAAGCACATACTGAAAAACAGAGAGTAAGAAAAGTAAACATCCAACAATGAGGGTCATCCAACATGAGTCAGATAATTAAGTTGTACCTGTAAAGTTAATCTCCATACAGCTTTCTCTTCCACCAGCGTTGTTGGGTTCCCCTGCAGCCCAGCCTTTGAAGTTGTACTTTGAACCATCACTCCACAGCCACACACCCTCCTGGAAAAGGAGGTATTTAAGTGTCAATTCACGCCAATCACAAAATAAATTATTTCACCCCTAGTGGCATCTATCCATGCTAATTGTGAAGAAATGTCCACTGCTCATGTATAATTTTGTTTGTGATGCTAAAAACAAAAATGACTTTTTGCAAAAACCTTTTTTCAGAAATCATGTCCATGTTACTGAAGATAATCCACAGATGTTGCTGTGAGCATGTTTCAGCAGCAACTATTTTGGTAAAAGAAAAAACCATGAAAACTGATCATGGATCAGTAACAATAAGTTAGTTTTTCCAGTTTAAATGTTTATTTTTTAATGGTTTGAACTCCACAGTTCTATTCATTATCATTTAGCTAGCGCTAGAGTTTTTTAGCCTTTAACTCAACGCACACCCAGAGAGTTTATACATTTGGTTGGATTTTTTTCAATCATGTTTCAGCTGGTGCTTTTT